CTCTCTATGAGACTTGCCCCTCCAGGCCTGTGCACCCTGTCTACCCTCTCCAAGCCCTGGAACTTGTTCCAGTCACTGAGCCCCTGGAGTATATTCAATTCTTCGCTACCCTCTCGCCAGCTGCCGCACTGACGAGATGAGCTAGGTTTAAAAGAGCTGGCTTCAACATTAGGATAAGAAAACGGCAAAGAAATCACGCAACACACAAACATGAGTTTCTCAGATTGAGGGTAGGGTGGCTCTGTGAGTCAGCTGGGAAAAAGAGCGTGCATCCAGAATCTATTTTTATAGGGGGGGGACCCACAAAGAAGATTCGAAGGAATGTTCTGCACCAAATAAGGAAGGGGATAAGATTTCAAAGGTGGAGTCTTGCTTCATGATGTCTTGCAGTCAGCAGATTGATTGACATCTTGGCAAGTCACACCCATCTCAGGTGCTTGTGGGATCACAGGCAGAGCAAGAGGAAAGGCGCAGTTGCATCTCACAGCCCAATCAGCGTGCAATGCCACACCTGCCCCTCATATATCTCCAATGCGCATAGCTCATACACACAGCCCATGGATGGCTCATGACACTACTCCACCCTTTATAACAAGGCCTTTCCAACTTCTGATTCCTGGAGAGCAAGAAGTCTTCCCTTTCCTGAGTGCAGGCCAAGACATCCCCTCCATCCTGAAGCCACCCCCACCTCCCAGCTGATCAGCCTAGCCCCCAGCCAGCACTTCCTATTACTCTCAACTGATTTGGGGAGGGAGAGGGTGTAATGGAAGACAATTGTATTTATTTTAGGGGTTGGTATATCTTTTCTTCTAAAAGTTTATGAAAATACCCCAACACTAATAAGATTTTTTCTTTTCTTTTTGGAGGAAAGGGAAGGAATTCTGTCCTTCTGCATGAATAATAAAGATTTCACTGAAGCAGTCCTTCTAACAGTAAAATGAAACAGAATATTTGACATCTAAATCTGTTATGTTTCATTGTCAGTGACATCTTAGCATTGTTTTTGTATTTTTGATCTGAATGCTGTCTTTAAAAAAAAGTCCCTAAAGATTTCCTAGCATATAAAATTGTTTTTAAAAATTACAGTAAGTGTACCGCGAGCCTGAGTTCAGTCCTCAGGACCACGGAGGAAAAAAATTAAATCAATTTTGGTGTAGAATTTGTGAGTGTATGGGAAAGGATTTCAGGAAAACCCTGGAAATTGTCTCTCTTTTTCTCTCTCTTTGTAACAAGGATTGAACTCAGGGGTGCTTAACCACTGAGCCACATCCCCAGCCCTTTCTGTTTTTTTTTTTTTTTTTTTGAGAAAGGATCTCATTAAGTTGCTGAAGCTGGCTTTGAACTTGCAGTCCTCCTGTTTCAGCCCCACCAGGTCACTGAAATTCAGGCATGGCCACTGTGCTCAGCCTCTTTCATTTTTTGTAAGGAATCATTAGAACATTATTGGTGAAATCTTTGTTATTCATTTTGTGGTGTGGGGAAGTGGGTACAAACTTGGTGCATTCAGAGGCCCCAGCATCAAGGTGCTTGACTGTCTTACCATGGCACATACTGCAGAATGTCTGTGGCCTGCTCATTGTTTCCTGTGCTTCCGTGGATCAGGTAGTTTAAAGCCGCTTCACTTTGTATCTTATTGAGAAGGGAATCTCAAATCTCCTGTTCTTTAAGTTTCACTGCTGCCTAGGAGTGGGTAAACAGAGCCAGTGGGACCATGAGTATGGGTGAGCTCTAGATGGCGCCAGAGCACTCTGTCCCCAACTCCAGGGCCTTTGACTAGGAAGCAGCATGCAGGTGCTTCTCTTCAAAGGCAGCTGTTGCCAGGCATCAGAAGTGCTGATGAAGAGAAACCAGCCTGACCCTTGGTTAATTTCCAGTTATGTTTGTGATGCACCAGGAAATTCAGAGCACATAAATGAGAGAAATTTCTCTGTTCCCAATAGCTCTGGCATTTTCAGTGCTAGTACAGAGGAGGATAACCTTTTTTCCAAGCATCTTTGCTGTGTATTAGGTAGCCCTCCTGAGTGTCCTCACTGTGGACTCTTTCTTTGTGAAAGAGACACTTACATTGTGTGTCATCTTGTTACAAAGGAGCCTCTGGGTGGGTTTGCATTCCTTTCTTGCTTCACTGGGCATTGCTCCTTATCTTCGGACAGCTCCCAAAGACATGAGCCAGGTGAGATGCATTTTATGAAAGTGCTAGAAGTTCACTCTCCTTAGCATCAGCATGGAACAAGAAACATTTTGATCAGATGGCTAGCTGTTCAAGTCCACATTAGTTGGAGGCTGAATATTGTCATTATAGAAATTTGAGGGCAAAAGAGTAAATCTGAAATGTTTTCATTAATTATTATAAGTTTTTAAAAAACAATCTTTAGGTTTTCACAGAGTAATATTTGGTCAGAGATGGAATTGCTTGGCTGTGTCAGCTGCTAGATTGCTTCTGTGGTCACTGTCTGATTCACTTACAAAATGAATAAGTAAGTTGTCATTATCTCATGAGATCATTGGAAGGGTGAGGGTTTATTTTATTTTTTTGATTATTCTGCTAGTGTAGGTTAATGTTATCACCATACTGCTCTCCCCTCTGATAGTAACTAAGCTTAAGATTGACTCCACTTCATATTCAAATTTGTGTGTTTGGTGCCTGGAGGTGGTGCATTTTCTTCTACAGTTCTGAAGGTGAAGCTCTAGGTACTTGGAAAGGAAGGTGCTTGCTGGATACTTTCAGAAGCAGATTTATAATTGTTATACTCTGTTCTATTCATCTTTGCTGCATCAAATGTCAACCTGAAATTAGTGGCATAAAATAAAATTTCCAGGACTGGGGCTGTGGCTCAGTGGTAGAGCACTTGCCTAGCATGCATGAGGCACTGGGTTCGATCCTCAGCACCACGTAAAAATAAAACAAAGATATTGTATCCCCCTAAAACTGAAAAATAAGTATTAAAAAATAGAACTTCCAGTTATGAAATTGCATGACCACAGAGCAGTTTACCTGTAGGTAGATACATAGAAGTGTACTATATATTAGAGCTGATTATTTTGAGATTAAAATTTTGCTGAAGATAATCCCCCAGCAGTGGTTATTTACACTTGAAGGTTGGGTGAGGATGCAGAGGATTGGGGGGCATAGAACAGAGACTTGACATTCATTTTTCAGTATTCAGTGTATTTTATGAAGACAGATTTTATTGCTAATATTTTTTACATGTGCTTGCTAATGATAGCTTTTTTGGGAAAAGATTTCATTCTCCCCATGGAGCATTGCTGCCCAGCTGATCCCAGATAGAACCTCAGGTATTCCCATGGCAGGGTGCAAAGAGTGTCACCACAAGTGTTAGGCATTTTCTTTTCTCAGCCTTCTTTTTCTTCCTCTTCACCTCCAGTTTCAGTCAGTCTAGTTTATTTTTGTCATTAATTAATTATAAAGAACAATGAAAGAAGTCATGGATATTCTGGCACAGAAAAAGCCAGCTGAAAATGAAATTCACATGGCCAGAGCCTTTCTTACGAGGATTTTGAGAAATTCTATGAGGTACGGTCTTGGTTTTATAATTACTTATTTCTCTGGTGCAGTGAATTCCTGTTTTACATATTTTTTTTTAGTTCATGGGAAACTATTATAAAGTCAACATACTCCACATTTTACCACTCATATAAGTTTTCTCATTAAAGTTATCCAAGCCATCACAAGGTTTGTTTTAAATGTTTTTCAGTTCTATTTTGGAAGTTATTCTTCATTATATAATATTCTTTAATGTTTTCACCCACTAGGGAAAATGTCTAATCTCTCTCTATAAAAGTACCTAAAGAATGCTCAGTTGAGTTCTTTCTCCATTTTTGATTGGTCTATAAATTGTCCAAGGTGAGGTCATTTCTGTCTCAAATTAGAAAAGTGGAAAGTAAAGCTAGCTTCGAATAGTAACTTTGAAGATGAGAGCTTGGGTGGGTCTGTATATCTGACAACATCTAGTCATCTTTGCTGCATCAAAAGTCAACCTGAAATTAGTGGCATGAAGTAGAATTTCCAGGGCTGGTGTTGTGGCTCAGTGGTAGAGCGCTTGCCTCTACCACTGGAGAGACCCCATTATGTAAGTTACCAGCATCCCTAGAGACTCCAGCTGGACACACCTTGTCACACCTGACCTGGGTAGGTGTGCCACATCTGGGAAGGTGCAGATGGTGGCGTGGGAACCTGGCAAGGCTCAGACCATGTAGAGAGGCCCTGGCTGGAAGGGACTCAAGCCTGTTGGTGCAGGGCATCATGGTCATTCGGTGGTTGAGCTGACAGTACATATGGAGAGACTCAGAAGAAGATGACTCTCCTAGTTAATGACAAGACAGCTGGTTTTCCTTAGCTAGCAAATAGAGATATGCAGTCTAAACTGTGCCCCTGTCAGCAGGGCATGTGGGCACACTGACTACTTCTCCACTTCAGTCCCTTCTCACCAAGGAGGCTCAGGGTTCTGTTCAAAGTTATACCACAAAAGACAGGAAAATCTGTTTGCATTCTATATTACAGGGGGAAGGGAGAGGGCAAGTTTTGTTTACTTAGTTATTTGGAATAAATTTTATTTTTACATTTATAAATTTCTTAATTGACAAATTGCATATATACATTTTTAATGTTTTTTTAGATGTTGATGGACCTTTATTTTTATATTCATTTATTTATATGTGGTGCTGAGAATCGAACCCAGTGCCTCAACACGTGCCAGGAAAATGCTCTACCACTGAGCCATAACCCCAGCCCAAATTGCATGTATTTCTGGAGAACTGCTTCACATTTTGGAGCTTGTGTTTGCCATTCTGCAATTGGGCAAAAGGATCACTCATAAAATCTGAAATGAATAAGCCTGCGTGCATGGATATGGTGGGAAGCACGGGGTGCTACAGATCCCTCCCGAACAGGTGCAACTGATTTCTGTTCCTGTTCTCCTGTCTTAGCACAAATGCATCTAGGGTGTCAAATTCCCTCACGTGTCTGCATTCTTTTCCAGGAGGAGTGAGCTGAGCTGGAGGCCTCACTCCTGGCACGCCACCAAGTTCTCCGATGGACACCCTGAGCCAGTCTCCTCTCAGTTCCCTGCTGCCAGTGGCTGCCCTTCCTGGCACAGCCGACACCATGCGAGGTAGATGCCCATTTTCCAGGAGGATGTAAAATCTGTCATAGTCTGCAGATGCTCAGATATTCCAGTGTGCTTCTTGACTTCAGAATGACTTTGACATTTCTCATCAGACAACTCAACGCTTGAGTAGGGTTAGAACTGAATTTTTCACTAAGGAGGCACATGGGTGAGGGTGGAAAACAACTATAATAATGAAAATAAATGACAGTGCAACAGTGAGCAAGCATGCTTTCTCTCATGTGTCAGGGTGTTAGTGGCAGATAGCATAGTTTTGGGATGCATGTGTTTATTCATGTGTATATATCCCCATGCATGTGTGAGTGTGCCTGGAAGCATATATGTGTGCATATCTATGTGTATCTCTACGTATACTTGTATTTGAGTGTGCAAGTGTATCCATGTGCTTGTTAGTTTGTGTGTGTGTGTTTTTAAGCTAACATAACCATTTCAAAATCCATTTTTGGCTATTAATAAATGTTAGCTGCAAAACTACAAAGTACAGTACTGAAGTGGTGTGAAGGAATTACCTCTCAAATACAGTATTTATTACTTGTTTAAGGTAGTGAGAGATTGGTATTTTTGAAAAGCCATAGATTCTCAACTGAGTCATAAAACTTAAGTGAAAAATGGGCTTTTCATTTCAAAACTAAGTGACTTTAATAGCATCTCCACTTAGTCTATGTGACTAAACACCCCCACCCTCCGAACTGGGGATTTAACCCAGGGAAGCTTAACCACTGAGCGACATCCTTGCTTACTCCTCTTTTTGAGAAGGGGTCTCACTAAGTTGCTTAGGGTCTTGCTAAGTTGCTGAAGCTGCCTTCGAATTTGTGGTCCTCCTGCCTCAGCCTTGTGAGTCACAGCAGTTACAGACATGCACCATCACGCCCAGCTGGCAGTCTCTTAATTAGAGACATCTGTGTGGAAACTGTACTTAGTGTTGTTTCTGTCTGCCTGGAGTTAAGAATTTGTGGAAGAATCATCCCTGGCGGGAGAATTTCAGGAACATGCAGTATTTCTGGTGATGCTGGGTCTGCCTTTAGAGGATACAGTATAAAAACCTCATGTGACCAGCCAGTCCATTCTCCTCACTACACCCTTGTCCTGGTCATACTGCCTTCTTTCCCATCCTTGTTCTCCCCAAACCTAATTTAACTATGGCTTTTTTTCCTGCTTGAAGCATGAATAGCACAGCTTTGTGAAACTTCAAGGGAAGAATCTAATATCCTGGATAAATATCTGTATCATTAAGATATACGAGTCATAGCATACAGTTACTATGTCAGAGAATATTTAATATCTTGATCAACCCTTTATTCCTCCTTCTTAGACATCATCCTGATTAGGAATATGTGATTTTTGTTGTTCGTGTATAGCACTAGTGAATCACAAGGTTTAATCATTTACCTGAACACAATAATAGCACATGATCTTGCTGGGAAAGCCTATTGCTTCTTTTAAATATCAAACCAACTGAGCATTTAGAGAAGAGCTAATCATACTCTGATATTTGGATTTGGAAAAGAAATGTTATCCCTAAAGTCTCTTTTTTAACTTTAAAATTGTTCTCATTTATTTACTCCCTTTGGGTGAATAATCCATAATAAGAATCTTTGGAGCTGGGTGCAATGGCACACGTCTGTAATCCCAGCTCCTTGGGAGGCCAAGGCAGGAGGATGGCAGTTTGAGACGAGCTTCGGCAACTTAGCAGGATCCCTTCTCAAAAAACAGGGGTCTGGTGGTGTAGCTCAGTGGTAGACCAAAAAATAAAAAAAAGAACTGGGTGTGTGGGCTAGGGTTGTAGCTCAGTGGCAGAGAACTTGTCTCATACATGTGGGGATGAATAAACAAAATAAAGAACTGGGTGTATAACTTAGTGGTACAGTGCTTGCCTAGCATACACATAGCCCAATCTCTGGTACTATAAGGGGAAAACAAAGTGGGGAATCAGAAAATCATTGCATACACTGAAACAGGGGTCTGAAAGGTGTTCTTTAAAGAGCTAGATAGTAAATATTTTCAGCTTTGCAGGTCAGACAGTCTCTGCCACTTATTCATTCTTCTATGGTGGTGCCAAAGCAGCTACAGCCAATATGTCGACAAATGGGTATAGCTGTGCTCCAGGAAACTTCATTTATGAACTGAATTTTGAATTTCATATAATTTTCATAGGTTACATGGGAGAAATATTATGCCTTTGATTTCTTTTCCCTTGACCATTTGATAAGATAAGAACCACTCTTACTTAGCTCATGAATTATCGTTTACCAACACCTACAGTTAGCTGTTGATGGGCCATAGGAGCGTTCATCGAGGCATTGCCTCCTAGTGATGTAGGCATGAAGTTGGGAAAATGTGCTGTCATTACAAGGGGTCTGTTTAAAAGCAGGTAGGACACAGTCTCTTCAGCCTGCCCTCAGAGCATCTCACCAAGCCACAATTGAGATGTGCCAAACTAAAATCTCAGACCCAGGGATCTTACATTTGGAAGTTATCATCCAGCATCTTCACCCTCCACAGAGTGCCAGCCAGCTCTGTTCCCAATTCCGTTGCCCTCTGATCTTGCCCTTTGTTGTCACTGGATGCTAAAGCAAACCATTCTTCTTGTTTTTGTAGTTCTTCCTCCCATGACCTGTCTGGCTCCTGGGAGCAGACGAACCTGCAGCGCACTTCTGACCACTTCAGCTCCCTGGGGAGCGTGGATAGCCTGGACCACTCCTCCCAGCCCTCTGGACGCCTCTCAGCTGCCAAGTCCAACAGCAGCATTGACCACCTGAGCAGCCACAGCAAGCGGGACTCAGCTTACGGCTCATTTTCCACCAGCTCCAGCACCCCTGACCACACTTTGCCCAAGGCCGATGCCTCGTCTGCAGAGAACATCCTCTACAAAGTTGGCCTTTGGGAGGCCTCTAGGCATAGCAGCCGGCAAGGCCAGGCCGTGAGTGATCCTCAGGTCCCAGAGGACAGGTCACTGTGTTTCCCAGCCAGGGTACCTAATGATAGCAGTAAAAGCCCCTGGCCAGAGGACAATGCTGAGCCTAAGTTGGCCACTTCTGGGAGATCCAGTTTTGGGCCAGTTTGGTATGTTCCTGACAAGAAAAAAAACTCTTCTTCCCCCCCTCCTCCCCCACCTCCTCTGCGCAGTGATAGCTTTGCTGCCACCAAGAGCCATGAGAAGGTGCAAGGCCCTCCATTCTCAGAGGCAGCCACCACGCAGCACTTTACAGCCCTGGCTCGGGCTCAACCCCGCAGTGATTGGAGACCAGAGAGGACTGATCGGCGAAGGCTGGTATGCCCGAGTAGTGGGAAGGAAGTGGGAGGCCAAGGCTACCTGCTGGAGGGCCACACGGACTGTGGTTGGCTGTGCTTAGATGACAGGGCAGGCAGTTCCCTAGGGGCTCCCGACAGGCTGTTCGGCACAGAGGTGCATTTCCGGCAACCTCACCCTGGGGGTCAGCACCTGCGCCAATGCAGTGACCAAAGCCACAGGGCCCCTGTGTCACCAAAGGAACTGCAGCGGGTGGCCCTCTCTGGAGGTCGGCAGGAGCCTCCCGCCACGCACCACCAAGATGACAGCCCCTCTGTGGGGAGGTGGCCCAGTGCTGCCAACCAGAAGGTGGACAGTGGTGGGTTGAGCCACTATTACTGCGTGCCTGCCAGGCAGCCCCTGCAGGGAAGCACCCAGGTGACAAAGCTCCGTGGGGAGTATTGGCATTCGGATGCAGCCTCAGGAGCCCTGGAGCATGCTCCTACACACCTGATGGGCCAGAGCCCACGATGCTACCTACCTCAGCATGAGCAGGCTCTGGATGCCCCGGAGAGAGAGCAATGTCCCCTACTGGATTCAGGGGCCGAAGGCTGCTTCTCGGGAATCCAAGAGCCTCCCAGAGCCAGCCGTGCTGAGAAAGCCAGTCCACAGAAGACAGCTGAGGGCTTCAAGTGGGCGGAGGGAGAGAGCAGCAGAATCTCTCGCCAGAGGACACCCATGCTGCACTCCCTGACCCAAGAGGGGATGTGCCAGCCCGAGAATGGCCAGGATGGTGGCACTGAGAAGCTACCGCCATTCGATGCCCAGGTGGGTAAGCCAGCACGGAGAAGTGACCGATTTGCCACCACTCTGAGGAACGAGATCCAGATGCGTAGAGCCAAGCTGCAGAAAAGCAAGAGCACGGTGACGCTGGCTGGAGCCAGTGAGGCTGAGGACAGTGCCAGCAGCTGGACAGCTGAGGTGGGTGGCACCCTAGAAGGTTCCTTCTCTAGCACCTATAAAGACCACCTGAAAGAGGCCCAAGCACGGGTCCTGAGAGCCACCTCCTTTAAGCGCCGGGATTTAGACCCCAACCCAGTGGACCAGTATCCCGGGTCACTAGAACACAGGACTGGGGACCACAGCACCTTATCTTCATTCCCTCAGGAGCCAAACTCTGTCCCCCACTTCTGTGAGGCAGGACTGGCCAAGCCACCCTCATCTGGAGGTGGCATGCCCCACGTTCCTCGTATTGGAGGCCGGAAACGGTTCACAGCCGAGCAGAAACTGAAGTCGTACTCTGAACCAGAGAAAATGAATGAGGTGGGGCTCTCGGTGGATTGCAGTCCTCACCAGCATCCCACATCACCCGAGGATACTGTGGGCACATTTGCTGACCGGTGGAAGTTTTTTGAGGAAACAAGCAAACCCCTCCTCCAGAGACCAGGCCAGAGACAAGCTCTGTGTGGAGTCCCGAGGGAGAAGGTGGAGAGGCCGCGGACAGCAGGCCACAGGAGTGAGGGGGCCGACTCTGGGCTCCAGACTAGGTCTCGTGCCACTTCCTTTGGAGAAATCCTCAATGGTCACAGGGAAGCAGAAAAGTTCGGGAAATTGGACCCACCTCAGAGACTTGGAACCTTTGCAGAGTACCAAGCCTCTTGGAAGGAGCAGAGGAAGCCCCTGGAGGCCAAGAGTGCTGGGCGGTATCACTCAGCAGATGATATTCTGGATGTGGGTTTGGACCAGCACCAGAGGCCACAGTACGTCCATGAAAGGTCCCGGTCGTCACCATCCACAGACCACTACACACAGGTAAGCATCCTGCTATGAGCAAGGGCCTAGTCTGCCCCAACCTTGACCTTGAGACATCTATAGGACGCACCCAGAATAGGATGGCCTATCTCACTGCAGGTGAAAGGGCCATAGGGACTGAATTGGCACCTGCATGGAAGTTTGAAACACTGTACCTCTGCAGACTCACATCTTTTGTTCTTAGCCTCCTTTTCCGAATCCCTTGCTTCACAGTCTTTCCCCTTAATTAGTTGTCCCACCTTCATGCTAAACAAAGAATTTGGGGAGCTGGACAGGGTGGGAGGGAGTGCTTTAGAAAATGGTAATGCACCCCTCTGAAATGAAAACACGTGTTTTAGCTAAGGGCTTAACATATGATAGCCAATTGTCAAACATTGATGCCACTTAATATTTATCTTTTTAAAAAATTTATAAGCATTCTTAGGATTATTCTGGGACAAAGTGGATTTAGAAACGCAGTGAACTATTGCACTATTTTAAGTGACAGTTTTGATGTTGAGCATTAACTCCTATCTTTCTTGAAAACCACATATTCTTATTAGTACTTCAAAGTCCACAATCTTTCCCTCTCCCTTTCTTCTGTCTCCCTGTCCTTCTGTCTGCTTTTTCTTTTTTGCCTTTATTTTATTTATATTTATGTGGTGCTGAGGATTCAACCTAGCGCCTCTCACGTGCTAGATGAGCGCTCTACCACTGAGCCACAATCCCAGACCCCTATCTGCTTTTTCTGCTTATTCCATCTGCATCTGTATATTTCAGAGAAAAACATTGTTGCAGTAATAGATTGTTTCTTTGTGTGTGTGTTTCTCCACACTGAGCATTGATCCCAGGGGTGCTCTACCTCTGAGCTACATTGCCACCCTTTTATATTTTATTTTGAGGCACACTCTTGTTCAGTTGCCCAGGCTGGCCTCAAACTTGCTGTCCTCCTGCCTTAGCCTCCCAGGTAGTGTGGGTTATAAGCATGCACCACCATGCCTGGCCAGATGCAGTCACCTGTAAAAGAACCAGTAATAGCTTTAATGCAGGGTGTCCAGAATGTGCATGGATGCCTCCTGGTGCTGAGAACCCATGCAGACACTGAGAGATTTTGTTTCTGCTCCCTTGCTGCCTGGCTTTGGGCTGTTAGAGTGACCTCTGGGAATTCTGTGCTTGTTCAGTCAAGAGTGAAGAATTCCGGCTTCCAACAAGTCCTAGGACAAGTCCACGGTGACTTGTGACCAGCTGTCTTTTGTTTGATTTCTTTTGACCAGTGTGTCACATGGTTTCGCAGGCTTCATGTAGGAGTTCTATTTCCTGTCCAGAAGTGGATGCTGGGGTCTTAGGTCAGTCATCTCAATGAAACGCTTTGTAGAGCTGAATGGGCATGTTCCGTGGCTGGGTCTCAGTCCGAGACAACAGGCAGCGTCACTGGCGTTGTGGGACAGGCGTGCAGGGCGAACCCACAAATGAGGGGTTTCCTAATAACAGATGAGATGTCTTAGGAGAGCAGCCTGGTGACTGGTCGTCTCATGTGCTGCCTTTGCAGGAAGTGGCTGTCAAGCCGCGAAGGCAGTCGGAGGAGCCGAGTGGGCATCAAGAAGCAGTTCCCTCCACAGTCTCTGCCGAGGAGGGACAGTCCGCTGTACGGTAGGTGAAATTTAGATTTGGGGTTGCTAAAAAGATGACTTGGGGACGGTTTTTTTTTTTTTTTTAAATGGATGGTGAATGCTGGGCTGACATGTCCAGCTGGGTAGTTTTTCCCAAACCCAAAGTAACTGCTAACCAAGCATGATTTCTGATGCCCATGATACCCTGGAGTTCTGAGCAGAGCCCATGTGCCCCCTAGCCCTGCCCAAAGAAGCATTGCCATGGTGGCATTTTTTGTTCTTAAAATACACGCTGTGTTTTCTGTGTAGTGAGATGCTTTATGGGAACAATATGTAATAAGTCCAGTTTAGCATACTTGAAACGAAGTGCTTTGTACAGAAGGCTACGGCTGAAAGGATGCTTTCACCATCCATCCACACACAGCTGTGTTTGTGGGCCAAGGTCTCAGATGCAATTGCAGTTGTATCTAAGGATTCTCATTCAGAAAGGAGTAAGGCAAGCCTTCCTAAATTGGACTGATTTAATGAGTTAATTTTGAGATTGAAAATAGAAGTCAAGTCAGTTGGTGGCAGCAGGGTGCTAGTGTTGCCTCCGTGATTTTAGGCAGTTGCACAGACAGCTGTTTAGTTGTGGGAGGATGGGATTTGGATTAAATATATACCATAATCCTGACTTTTCTGCATGAAGAGGGTAGGAGAGGAGAGTGTGCATCTTTGCAGAGGATATGGTGTAACCTTGCTTTATAAGGGCTGATGGACACATGGAAATAAGTACACGGATGGAGATCTGAGAGGATTTTTCTGTTGTCTTGGGAATCTTGTTTGATTGGTGCAATGTTCAAATTAAATGCTGGCCCCAACGCTCAGGTTCCTTTGCAGAAATAGCCAGTTTAGATGTTTACTTTCAAGAGCCTGTGTGTTGGGATTTTATTTCATTTGGCTTGAAACTGAATGCTATTAACTTTATACAAAAGGATCCAATACTTATGTGACTCTGAGGCAACAGGATTGACACTGAGTGTATGCCTGTGTAGGAAGCCCCTGCAATTACGGATCAGTCTGCGTGGCTAAAATGAACCCAGGGTAAGAGAAGCTGGTGAATAATCCACCTACAGAACTTAGCAGTGTCTGAGAAGCACAATTACAGCTTTATTACTGTGGCTTCTGAGTGAGTCACGTGCCATATGCCAGCTGTGGTCTGTTTGCAAAGCTGGCTTCCAGGCGCCTCTGCAGTTGTGGGGCCAGCTGTGCAGTGCATGGCTGGCAGGGGCTGGCAGCTACCTCTGCACACATGGTGCTTTCTCTGCTCCTGCTCTCTGCTCCATGCCATGAGCATGTAAACTGTGCAGAGGACACGCATGGTGGTTGGGGCATAGCTCTACTCCTGTGCATAGAGACTGTCACTGCTAACAGGGATAATGTGCATACTATTTGTGTGCAAAAGTAGCACTATCCATACTGAGAGGGTCAGGAGGAAGAAAGGAGGGGCCATGTGCTTTTTTAAAATCATAGCTGTGTCTTCCAGCAGACTACATAAACACTCTGAAGAAATTAGTTCCAGAAGCCGCCTGCTTTTGAGCTACAAACCCAGCAATTTTCAGAATTGTTGTGTGTGTGTATGCTTTTAAGAGCAGCAAGTCCCAATGAAATTCTAAAATATGACTATTAAAAAGTCATTTTCAGCTTTTCCCACGGACTGTTTAATTTTCTGAAGGATCAGCAAGAAAGAATATGCTTGAAAAATTAAATGTGAAGCTGGCGTTGTAATATACACCTATAATCCCAGTGACCCAAGAGGCCAAGACAGGAGGGTGGCAAGTTTGAGGCCAATCTGGGCATTTTAGTGAGACTTGATCTGAAAAATAAAAAAAGGGCTGGGGGTATAGCTTGGTAATAGAGCATGCCTAGCTCAATTAAAAAAAAAAAAAAAGAAAAGGTAAGTGTGAAAATTATAGAAATAAAGTTTATAATAATAGAAATAAAGTCTATTATGTGAAGATATAAGGATACGTAATAATGTGCACAAGTTTAAAGTAAAACATGCTTTTATAATGAATAAATTACTAACTTGATAACTGATGCAAATAAAAAATGGTTTTTGTTGCTTTCTGTTGGGAATAACATGAAGAACGATGTTAGGAATTATTTGTAGTTGCTGGCGTTCATCCAAGTCAAATGGAGATAACATCTTTTGTGAGGTTCAGGATCCTATAGAACCTCCCAGTGTAGGAGGGAAAGAATGTCACAAATATTTGCAACTGAAGGGGTGACCTGTAATTATAAATCTTTTAAACTTTCTATGGTGCATCAGAAGTCAGAGGAGAGAGTTCTGTGGCGTTTGGGCAGATTACTGTAGTGACTGGACCCAAGGGAGCAGATCTAGTGGATTTCACTTACCCCAGCTGACCCTAATGACCTGCCTCACAGATCTCATCTGCCTGGTCTTTCCACAACAGCTTTCTGAGGTTTTGTACCAGGTCCTCAAGCTCAGACCCCAGCAGGGTCTGCTTCTTGCAAAGGGCCACACCCTGCCACTGGCCTTCCCTCCAAGACAGGGTGTGTGTATTCCCTAGGGCTGTTGCATTGATCCTTTCACAGTTCTGGAGGCTGGCAGGCTGCTATTAAGATGCACTGTGTTCCTCCAGAGACCTCTCCTTGGCTTGTAGACTCTTCTGTGTCCTCATGTGATCTTTCGTCTGTGTGTGTGCTAATCTCCTCTTCATAAAAAAAAACAAAACATGAGACAGATTGGATTAGGACCTACCCTAATGACTTCATTTTATTTTAATCATCTCTTTAAAGATTCTCCCTCCAAAATGTTGTAGTTTGAGATTTGTGGGGTTATGGCTTCAACATACTAATTTAGAAAGGAGTCACAATTTGGCTTGTAACACTTGAAGAGATGTCCCTGCTTCTCCCTTATGTCTTTTTGTGCGTATATGTGTGTGTGTGAGAGTGGTTTACCGGGGATTGAACTCAGGAGCACTTGACCACTGAGCCACATCCCCATCCTATATTGTATTTTATTTAAAGACGGGTTCTCATTGAGTTGCTTAGTGCCTCGCTGTTGCAGAGGCTAGCTTTGAACTCATGATCCTCCTGCCTCAGCCTATGAGCTGTTGGGATTACAGGCATGCACCACTGTGCCTGGCTCCCTTATGACTTCATATTAAAAAATTCAGTTGCTTTGTTCTAAGCTCTCTCAATCATTTCATCATTGAGCTGATGAGGTTTCACATTTAGAACTGACAGGGAAACATTTTAAATGAATGGAAATGGGGATTTGGCAAAACCTGTGTGAAGGGCTTTACAGCAGTGTGTAACTGCAACCTTAGAAATACACACCCCTTCTGGTTCTGTAATTATTCTGTGTTAACTTTCAAAGTGGGTGCCTGTTGCATTGTGAACAATAGCATCCTCTGCAGACTGGGATGGCTTGGGGAGGATGGCAAATATCCTATTTGGATGTATCTGCCACACCCTTCTCCTGTTTTCTGGGAGCTGCCTCTTCACTCTTGCTGGACCAAACTGATAGCTCCTGGAAGACCAGGATTTTACTTTTTCATTTTTCAATACCCTGTATATCACACAGTTCCTACACAGATTGGGTGCTAAATAAATAAATAAATGGTTGGTTGGATGAGTGGACTGGTTAAGGGACACATGGATGAGTGAACAGATGGATGGACATTCCTCAGGTGGGTGGGTGAATGAATGGATAGTTACACGTATGCATGGATGGATGGATGGATAAGTGGGCTTATAGTTGGAAGGATAGGTGGGTGGATAAATGGATGGGTATATGTATGTATGTATAGATGGGAAAATGGGTGTTGGATGGATAGAAGGGTGGGTGGGTGGATGAACAAGAGTATGTGGATAGATGGATGAATGGGTGGAAAATGAGTGATTGAATGGATAGAAGGGTGGATGGGTGAACAGATAGGTATGTGGGTGGGTGGATGGATAGGAAATTAGTGGTTGGATATTTGGAAGAGTGAGTGGATGGGTGGATGAGTAGATGGGTACATGGATAGGTGTGGCTGGCTGGCTGGATAGTTGGGGTGTATAAGTGAATGGGCAGATAGATGATTGGAAGAATGGGTTGGTGGATGTATGAGTGGTAGATAAATTGATTCTCCTTGAGTTAGTTCCTGATCATTGTGAATAACCACCCCCGGTGGCATATTTTGTTTGCTGAAGTTTTACTAAGATTGTAGTCTACATGCCAGTTAAGTATAACAGGCTTTTACTTATCTTTGTGCTCTTGATTTAGAATCAAGAAGACATAAACATCTCAAAAGATGAACGTATTTTCTGGATTGATACCCTGTAAGAGAACAAAGATGCAATACTTTTTTTTTTGACTGTTGCTTCTCAAATTGGAACATCTTTCATGAGCATTGTATTCTGGGAAGCTCTGGAAAATGAAGCTGAGCTGGGGGTGGCTCCTAGGCTGTGGGCTGGCAGAATCCCTCTTCCCTGACTTCTTTCAGCCACTTCCGCCTCCGCCTAAGGGAGCCACTGCCAAGTGCTAACAGGCTGGCATTAACCCCAGGCTTGCATTTTGTTGGTACAGATGGAAGGAGAGGGAAAGAATAAGAGTGTATCTCCTAAATCCCAATATAGTTAAAAAACTGAGTACGTGTGAAATAGAGGTCTTTAGGGGAAAAACTTTGCTTTAACATAAAATTCATAAACTAAACCCTGAGGGTTATCTTCTTGGATGTTTTCCTTGAGAGGTGATTAATGGGAAGACCGATTGTTCATTTATACAACCAGCTCTAAGTAGAATTCAAAATAAGTAACAGCTTTGTCATCCAAGCTCTACCCCATGTTTTATGCTTCAGGACAGACATTTGCTATTGCTGGCCTTCAGTTAGCTAAGGGGCAATTGAAGCTTTCCATTCTGAACTACTTTGCTAGGTAATTATGCAGCCTGTCCTGGATGGGTTGGGATAACAAGGCGAAACTCAAGCTTGGCATTTTTTCCGGGCAGAGCAGCATCCCACAGAGCTTCAGTCCCACGCAATGAAGTCC